AATGTAACCTTTTTCAAAAAAAGTGAATCAGGGTTTTACGTTTTGAATTTATATGAAATAAATAATAAATAAAACAATTTTTTTATGTATTGTTCAACCACTTTATCTAGATACTTGACCTTGGAATATGCAGAAGCAGGTAATAAGTAAATCATTGTACTGTTACCAAACAAACATTTACTTATATACGTACTCTAAATGTTAAACAGTTTGTGATAATTTTTTCGTAATTTTTTATTTTCTTAATCAATTAACAATTTCTGATGTACATGATGTCACTAATGTCACGACAATGTGTTTAACTGAATGGACCATTAAACAGTAACGTGTCTCATTATAAGCTAATAAACCAGGAGAAAAAGATCTCAGAATTCTTCAATATTCAATTTATACTTTCATCTTGATATTGTTTTTTTTTTTCACAGATTAACCACAAATTGTAGCACACGTACAGTCAATTACAACCGTTACTACGTGATTTTAATAAAATATCTTGGCTCAATCTTAAAGAATTTAAATTTCTGTTACTCCTTTAGTATAGTTCTTTATTATATCGAGCGATCAAATTAATTGTAATCGAGTTATTCAAGAACTTGAATCCGTCTTTTGGGATTGATATGCTTAATACGGGCTATTAGAGGTGACGTCACAGACGCGACTGTACTGAAGCTAAACATACAGTGTTGCCAGTTGTGATACTAGAGTGCCAAATTGATACCCGATTTTTTTTACTAGATATTTATATTTACTTGCAAACAAATAATAATTTATATTCTCGGCCAAATACACATTATGTGAATGTTAATATATTTTATTTTGTTTTGTTTTGGTACGACCTATCCACTCCTGTCGTTTGCAACATTCTGGCAACGCTGTACACATATTTTTGAAGTACACAGAAAGTGAGGTTAGAACAGATTAAATTACAGAAATGTAGACTACAATTGTTAAAACCATTACGAAACGACACACATTTTTCATAGCAACTATTTCCTTAGAAACAATCTCCCTACACGTCCAGGATTCAAGAAATAAACTTTTATTTGTTTAGCTTCAAAGGTACAGTCACGTACCTTGCTGACGTCACACTAATAGAGCGTATTGTGAGATCTAAAGTTACGTCATTTTAAAGACTTTTAAAGCCTTTTTACCTTAATATTTGATTTAGTTTTAAAAAATTTTAATGACGTAATTTTTTTATTAATCCGAAAAAACTGTAGCCTCCACAACTAATTTTGGTGTTTACAATTTTACATCGACCCTAATCCTAAAAATACAATTATTATTGTAAATTTAACCAACATTCAACCAACACTGTTTACATGAAATCAACCCATGCAACGAAGACTATCGTAACCGAGATCGTAACTCAAAATATGGCAGATTTCAGTTGATTATGGTACATAAATATTGTTTTAAGATCTTCTTGGTGAATGATTTTGTGAAAATACAGGTTGAGTCTTAACTTATACGTATAAACTTAGAGAATGAAAGGTTATGATCCATAATAAGACTTATTATTTTATGTTTGATATACTCATATCATTGAAAAAAAAACATATTGAATGTTTATGTTTGTATTTTTACCCTTGAATCCGGTTAAAAAGCAAACCATATTGGTATTTCTAAAAACATGCGTATTTAAAAATATATTCAAGTTGGGTAAAATGAGGCGTTTAGAATTAGAGTAACATAATTCAAAAAATGTAAATATAAATCTATGTAGTTATAATCTCAGACCAACTGCTTAGTGTACAAATTTTTAGTAAAATACTGGCCTAACGTTTTAAACAATAGTAGATTATGTTATTAGGAGTAAAAGTGATTGTTTATGTGGCGAAGCTGAACGTTCATTTTGCCGAACGGAGTGAGGCAAATGGATTCAGCTGAGCCACATAAACTCACTTTTACTCCAAATAACATATGCTATTTTATCTGCAAACGATTCAGATGGAACGAAAAGAGCAACACACCAATAATCAAGTAAATCACCTCAATAATCAGGACGCTTTGCAATAAAATCATAACAAACGTCACGCGTCAGTTTCGGAATTTGTGTTGAGATTTCGAAAGTGTTGATTGATTTAACTGGTGAATAACTGGTGTAGTTTATAGTGCAAAATGTCGAATGCTGATAATCTACCTTGTACCTCTTCAGAAAATGCTGAAAAAGCGAAAGGGACAAGAAAGAGACAACAGTGGTAAATGTCAAAGTAAGTGTCAAGTAAAAGTGAAAACGCCTAGGCGTAAAAACAGTGTTTTTACTCCATGTCTGAAAAGTAAAACTTTTAAAGTCCATTTTTTTTTAAAACAATTGTCAATGTCAAAATTCCCTCAAAAACCAGACTATACTACCCCAAAAAATCTTATTTTCGGAACAGTTGTATATTAAAATCTCCCTAGATTAGGTTTGAGGTTATGTTCGTAATTTTCAAATGTCAGAAAAGTTTGAAGTGGAAGCAATTTTTACCAAAGGACAAGAAATAAAGTCGGTAAGGACACGGAAACATGCAACTCCTAACGGGAAAAATTTATTTAATGGGTAATTTAAATTTTTACTCATTTTCAGAATCTGATTCAAAATTTTTAGACCACCAATCGTCTTCAGAATCTGATTCTGGAGAAAGGTGAATCATTATTGGAGGAATATAATAAAATACTGGATTAGTCATGCAATTTATTGGATGCCGTTCTTTTTTAGGAGTTTTTACACAACCAAAATTATCAAATTTATGAAGAATTGTAACATGGTTGGTTTTTCGTCTGCATATATTCACAAAATCTAATCATAGTTATTTTTCTTGTTATGTTAAGGTCCAGATCCTTGCTTTCAGAAACTCATTTTTGTAAACGATTCTTCTTGAGATAAAACACAATTTCACAATAATTTATTCGAACAATTATTATAATTCAATTAACTCGTACGAGAGCTAGGCTAAGACTGACTCCTCAAAAACGGCAAGATTCACAAAAAAAAAACCTTCCGTAATAGTTCCGTTTTAAAAGGCCTCTGTTCGGGGCAGCGTAGGTATTCCTGCTATCCGCAACGTCACAGAAATAATTCTAATACCAACCAATTCCATCTTCAACATTTTCTGTGCTCTTTAAGTTGCACTTTCAATTTAATATTTAAAAGTAATTGCGGCTTCAGTAGCGCAAGCGCCTTCGTAATAAAACGGCTGACATTCAATTGTCATTTTACGTTGCCAACGTAATAACATCAAATAACTAGTGGTTGCTACCAACATGTCAACACTTTGACAATTGTTTAAAAAAAAAATGGACTTCACCTGTGTCATTTAGTCATAAAAGTGGTCACTTTTGTGACGTTTGCAGATAAAAACTATTATCGGTACTTTTCAACTTTTATTAGGATTGCGCCTAATGTGGATTTAGGCCACTCTAATTCTTAACACCTCAGATATTTTTAGCAAAAAATAGTTTGTAAAAGTTATTAATTAATTTAATTAAGTAATTACATTTATTCGCGTATTCGAAATATGCATTGAAGTAAAAAAATGTTAATATGTGGATGACAAATAAACAAACGTTTTCAATATATTATATTCTCAACGTCAATATGTTTATATAAAATTAAAAAATTTGGACGTAGATGCATATTTCCATCATTAAATAAATTTACGCAGTTTCAAAAATTTTAAAACGAAGAAAAACTAAGGTATAAAACTACTTATTTTTAAAGCCACATTGTTATACTGAGTGACATAAAAAATAACACCTTCAAAAAAATCTCTAAAATAGAATTTTGTGATTAAGATTATGGGCACAAAACAAACATTTAATACTAATTTACCGTTTCTGTTCCGCATGTTTTTTTTTTATCTCACTTAGTATAATGTATTTATAAGAACACTGCTATATAGTGTACGCATACCTTTGTTATTGTTGATAGCCTATGCAGTTCACAAATCTACTATTGTAAACATTTCACTACAAAAGAACTTCAAATTTTTAACACGTAATCAAAAATGCAATAAAAATACTAATCAAGTTATGCGATAAAAATTCCAAATTAACATAATGCATAGTTTTTTATTTTTGCCAAGAAATAACAGTAAGTACAACCACATGTTAAATTTGTGTAAAAGTATGCATAATCGCGTCAAGGTAATTAAAATTTTTATATTGCTTATCTTTGGTTAAACTAACAATACTTTTAAACGTTTGATTAAAGTAACTGAAGGCCAGACAATTTTATAAAAAGAAAGAAATGCATTTGTGGAACGAATGCAAGTATGAGGCAAAAAATATTTTCCAACTGGTTTTTAACAAAATGTAAACGTAAAATGAAATGATAAAATTATCTGGAAGCAGTCTTATCAACAATTCTAAGTTTTATAATTTATAATATTTAAGTAATTGCGTGTTGATAAGCTGCCGAAATTTTTATCAGGTATATTATTAACATAACAAATTAAATAATCATTGTCATGTGACAACATATCCTAATAATGACTTTATGGAACAATTCTAAGCAAATTTGTGTCATTAGGCATATGAATTTGAGCCGGTAGGTTCCATTAATAGAGCGTTAATAATAATTGCACGTGATATACCAATTAGTATAAAATGTGAGTAACTTTTTGAAAGTATACAAATAAAACATAAGGTTTCACTTATTTGTAGGTGTTTTGTGACTGTGACTGACATTATTAACTTACAATTATGCAAAATATGTATTTTGTTATACTTCAAGGAAAACAGAAACGGGATTTTTAGTGATATCAGTTTGGGTGAATAACACGATTGGCCTCACTTATAAACAAACTATCAATACGAGTATTGCTAAATCAGTTGATTTCCAAAAAATTAATGCAAAATACGATTGCTTCCACAGAAAAACTTGGTCATGTCCCGATAGTGGTTTAGATTTATATGCAAAAGTACTGATCGAATAGGGAAATCTTAACCGATTTACCTTCTGTTCAAGGTGAAGTGCTCTTACTATCAAGGATTTAATTTGGTCTATTAGTACTCACCTCCTTCTTCCACATGAGTTCCATGTTTGAGGTGGTGTAGGTGGGCGTAATAGTGATGATGGTGAAGAATACACTCTAGATCCGTACAATTTAACATCTTCACTCGGTGCTACTCGTCGAAAAATGTAAAAAGATGCTTGAGCTGGAGCTTATTAAAAATACTTATTTTATCCCATAATTGAGTTAAAATGTTTTTAATTCGTATTGCCACACACTCGTGTTTATGTCACTACACCGCAACGAGGTCTTACATACAAGGATTATTAATAAACATTAACTCTATTTACATTAAATTATTCTTAAGCGAAAGCAATTTGCACACATCACCTGAGCGCCTTATCGGCCGATATCGGAAAACTCATGGAAAATATCTCGGTTCCCGAATAGTACTTTTCCGCGATTCTTCGTAATCGGCCGTTGTTTTGGCTAAGGTCAAGGTTCACAAGAGAAACAGTTTATCACCGAGGGGAAGCGATCTCAACTCGTGTTCACTTGTCCAGTCTTCCGCAAGACACTAGACACTGTCTTCGAGAGTGCTACAAGTCAAATGCCTTCATGTTCGTAGTAGTTGTGATTGTCGATAGCTAGTAGTGGGTCACAGGCTAGGTTAAACTCGCACAACGAAGAAATCCTCGTCCACATACGATTTTTAACACACTTTACACGCTTGGTCGACTATATTACAGCTCGATTCATGTGAGATAGAAGGTTAACACAAACAAGACATCGACGACGGTGCATGGAATGGAATGGATAGCTGCAAGCCTGCAGGAGAGGGGCCACTTTCTAGCTATATGCAGCCCCTCTACTGTCACCACACAAATCGCTACTTGATGACAAGCTTTTTCACAACTTGTGCACTTTCTGAATTTTCAGTTTTCAGTCATTGATCTCCCGCTCTTGATACACCTACAAGGATTCTGCGAAAATGAAATCGCTTATTCAGGTCAATACAATGATAATATTTTAACCGACTCTCCTGCGAACAGGTGTGTGGAGTGATTCGTTCACCTACAACAAATAACTGACGGGTCCGGGGTCACGCTGCTGCTAAGCAGTACCAATGAATATGTTGACGTTTTTGCAACTTGATAACATTACTGATAATTTCACGTTTCATCTTTTCTTAATTACCGTCGTTTATAAAACAATTGTTTTATGACCAAATGAAAAGTCATCAATTCAACAATAAAGGAGAAATCAAAGAGTGTCGGTCTTTTTAATCATAAGAGGATAAAAGTGAACGAGAGGGAAATTATATGGTAGGTAAACATGTTATAAAGAGGTTCAGCTGGACTAAGTATTTTATCTTTCATTTTATCTCCACCGCCATCCTCTTTTTGGTATTGACCAAAAGCTATTAAATGTTTTAATACGAGTATAGTCTACAAAGGGTGTAATTTGCTTTTCATTCGCGTCAGTGTAGTAGAAAAAAGAACCTTTCAGCGGGTAGAGTTTTAATTGTTTTTTAATGCACTTGCACTTGCTTATGTTGTAATATTAATGAATAATTATTATTGTATAATAACTCATATTTCAGTTTTAACTGATGCCAAGAAATAAATCAAATCAAGAATCGTTGACACTTTTTCCATTTGTTTGTGTAATATTTTTGTAAGCAAACGTCACTGCTATCTTCTGGTTGGAACTGCATCATGTGTTAAGGAAGGATACCTAATTATTTTGATGAACGTTTAGCATTTTCTGTTTTCTCATTCATAGTATCATGTTTTTTCTTTTCAACAATTATGACTAATTGTCTTAATAAAATACTGTTAATTTATTTATGGATTTAAAGGATTTAACAATTAGAACTCGTAGGAAGCTTTTTATTTTTATTTCTCTTATAAGTCCAATGAGGGAAGGTTCCAAAATTAACAACTTAACAAATAATTAAAATGCAATGTTGTTTTAAGAATCTCCTTGTTCATGAAGAATAGATTTTATTGTTTGTTGTTTTGATAACGGAGACCATGAATAATTTTTGTTTCAAACATCTTACTCATCTCCCAACATATTGCTGCAAAGCAATGGTATCTCCATAACTTTTTTTCAAGAATCATGAAACATGAAATAGACTTAAAATGTTTTACAGTTAAAATTTAAAACCTGTTACTTGTCAAATCTGTCAATACACCAATACTTACCTAACAAGTTTCCACAACATGATTCCTTTGCTAATTTAATTGTTCCACTTAGCAACGATTTAAATAGCTGAACATAAAAATTATGTAAAATACACTAAACCCCGTCTTTTTACATTATGCAAATTAAATTTTTGAAATATTCGAGACTGATCTAGATGAGGTATGCAACAGTTTAGAATTTTGCAAAAATGGAGACAGCGGTATGTGCACACTTTATTAAAAGGCAGGTTACTATAGCCTGTGGCTGTTAATATGCAGATGTAGTGGCAAAAGAAATTTCTCTTTTCTATCAGAGTCTACCAGTTTTGTTCGGTCAATACATACCTACTACGAGTACTCATTAAAGTAGCAAACTAAAAATTACGAACAACTAAATCTTATGTAATCGAAGAAATTGCCAGGCAGACCGAAAGTAGTTTGGTCATAAATATTTATTCGCCGACAATCCTGACTAAGCAACATTGAACATTTAAAAACACAAATGTCCTAGGTAAGTACTACGTAGTAAACACAAGTCAGGAATGAAAATTATTCGCGAGCTCAGACATTACCATTATATTTAAATTGAGATTTAATTTAATTTTGCTGGCTCAGAAAGTTAAAAATCAAGAGTTATCTCCAAATCTAGGTCATACGACTGAAATTATATAATTCTTATTTGGGACCGGATAATACATTATATTTATTTGCTAATATTATTAACTTGCAATATTTCTTCTTGGAATCGTTCAGGGTCTTAGCCATTATCTTGAATGCGGTTATCTACATGTCTGACAACAGGCCATTAAAAATAAATTTGTAAAACCATCAATATTTAAATTTCTGGATCAGGAGTACCTGTCCACATATACACGTCGTGTTACCATTAAAAACATAACGATTATAACTATCTCAGTATCAAATGAGTCAGTCAACACGTGCTTTAAACTGTTAATTAATTGATGCGAACAAAAGCTTCTTTATTTTGTATCTAAAACATTTAACGAAAGTGGAACAAATACGATAGCATTGTTTTAAAGAAATTTGTATAGAAATATGTCACGTTGAAGCGCTCATCATTGAAGATCTTTTCGGAGATAAGTTCAATATACTCTTGAAGGGAATTTCTGAAGATTGAGATAATGTGATTTGGACCGGAAATGCCACCCTGATTGCAACCTTAGTGTTGAATAAATTATCTTTCAGGAAGTTCATTAAGTTAATCATAAGAAGAGTTTTGAACAAGAATTGTGTCTACTGCATTGTAGACAGTAATTAACAGTAATTACGACGCAGTTGATTGAACCAATATTTTTTCTTTGTGAAGGTAAAATTCAAGGCTTAGAGCCCTCATGTTACCAATTGCAAAGAAATAGTCCTTGAACTTTCCCTGCCTTTCGTGATTCATTAATTAAATGCCCTTTTAGATGAGAACCCGTAATTACATTCATTTTAAATCTGATGAGCATTTGTGTAAATTTTACAAAATTCTTATTTCTTCACATCCAATGACCAAAATTAATAACAATCATCAATGAAGCTAATGGCTGTTTGACAGGATATTGTTCAAGTCCATCCCGAATAAATTTCTATATGGTGAAAGTGGAAGCAGTGAAATACCGTCCAAATAATAGACATCGTAATTGCTCCTGTTAGTGAAATCCTGAACGTATTTGCTGATCTGATGAGAAATATTCTTACAAATATTTGCATATAAACCAGAATTTCGGATTGATAAATGTAGGTAACCTTATCAAGTTCGCCCGGATCACAGCTTGAAGAATTTCAACGCAATGCGGTACCTACTCACTAGTCAAAATCGCACTCTTTGTACCAGTTAATTGATGAGCCATTTGTATGATAATTTCAGGTGGTAACCATGGCCCAGTTATTGGACCTTTTTGCTCTTTGGATATGATTCCATACGTTAATTTACCACATTTGTGGTATGTGTTAAAGATAATATTTTTTCATAAAAATGCCATATAAATATTTCAGCTACGTGGTAATATTTTGTTCACTGTCATTGGAAAAATCTAAAATCGAATTCTATAACAGCAAAGAAATCCCTACAACCGCCTCGTAAATAAATGTTTATTTTTATTTACGAAAGCACGTTTAGGCTTGGAGGTTTTCATTCGTACAATACAGCCTGAATATTTATTGTAGCAATACTTAGTTGTTCAGTAAGATTTAAATGGACATACGTTGTATAAACGTTAGTCAGTAAATTTGAACTGGTTGTCAGATTTTTCATCAGAAAACGACCTCCGTCTTCGAGGCATGACAAACTTGTATGGTAACCACAATCATTACCTGACTTTGACATTATTAAATATGTTTTTTTTTCTAATTTAATGATATATCACCTGTTATTTGCGATTGTGGCTAATTAAAAAATGATAATTTATTAATTACTAAAAATATAAAAATCGGTCTTAATAAAGAAATGGAAATGTAAATATAAAAAAAATATTTTACAAAAAAAAAACTAATTAATTAAAGTACAAATCGTCTTGCTGTCGTAGCCTATTTATGGGTTAAGGGCAAACAAACTATTGTATCGGTTTATTTATAACCTTAAATGTTATTACGTTTTGTCAATATTGAGATGCTTTATGAATTCTTAATCCATTATGGGAATGACCTTTCTCCAGTTCGTGTCCAAACTCTAAAAAATAGTCAAAATTGCCCATACACACGAAAAACATTATGCAATTGTTTAAGTTTTTATTACCAAATTTATTTAAACAGCAGACATGTTGTGAATCAGAGATTACAAATTGAGCAGTGATTCGTTCGGATTCATTAAATATGGATGTCCGTTGATTATGTATTATATTGCCATGTTCAATGAATTCCGAAAGGATAACTGGTCAATTTTTATATTTCCCGATACAAAATGACGCACTGGCGACTAGTAGTCTAGTGATGATCTCAACTTGTCTCACTCTTACCCACGGGGTTACGCCTTCGTCTGAGAGATGGTGATAGCAGCCTTGTACAGACATTGACCCAGTTTAAACAAGGCGATTAATGAGGAAATGTAAAACAATTATTAAAATAATAACAATTATGATCAATTTCTGGTCGCTGAAGTCAAAAAGAAAGCTAAAGTGCTACGGAGTTTTAATTAACGAAATGACAACAGACAATGAATGACGCAAAACCATTTCGCATTGCTAATGGCGCTTTTCTGTATTTTCTATTATCTAACACTTTAAGATGGTATTGACATTTACATATGTCACGTGCGTGTGCGATTTTGCTGTTTTCACAATTTTCATATTGATTTTCTAGTATTTCGTCATTGGAGACACTTCCTTATGGGCATATTTTACTGCCATTTGTATGATAACTGTGAATGACAAGACTTAAAATTTTGGGCTTTACAATGAATGACCTCGAGATCTAATAGATTTACTCAAGTCTAAAATCGTGATATTACTGCAATTGATGAAATAAAGACGTGATTTTTCGCTTGAGTACCTCCAATAAAACTGTTAATTATTTTCAAGTAAGAAGTAATTAAACAGCGAAGAGTCATTTTGATCCATCTTTTTACAACCACTACAACCATATTGGTCCTGAATTTCCGGTCAGGTGGATGATGTAGATAATAAACAGTGGAGAAAACTGCTAATGTTTATATCTAATTTGTATTCCAAATCAGAATATATTACGTAAAAGTTTTCACTTATGTAGGATTATTCAAAAAATGCCTTGTATTGTATGAAACATTTCCGGAAAAATTGATTATTGTGAAAAGTTCTATTTGTGATT